TGACAAGTAATGAACTGATTCTTTTGTAACACATAAACTGAGGCAATTCACAGAACACTCCTCTTCAAAATCACTGACCTTTTCACATATCTCAATATTTGCAATTAGACCAGTTTTTTAATATATACGTAAATTCCTCATAAGAACTGTAAACTACACCACCTAACCATTTGTTTCCAATCATAAATGGACTTAAAGGTTTTGACCTGATGAGTGTATGACCTGTCACCAGTTAATAGCATAGTATAGTTTTATATGAAGTTGCTGTTATCCAATGGAATAGCCAGATTTTTGTCAGATGATCATGTGATCATACAAGTTTCCAAGTTTGTGCCACATGAGATGATTACATGTTTCTCAACATGCTGTAAAATGAGAATTCTAAGACTAAATCTGTTTTGGAGGTTTTATTTTTTTCAATTTTCTTGTACATGAATCTCAGTCTTCTTTAAAGACCAAATTTTCATGATTGAAAAAATTTACCATTTTACAGTAACTAAATAAAATGCTCCGCTAGGCGCAGCTTGATACGACCGCAGAGGTCGAACCCTGAACAGTTGGGGCAAGTATGGACACAACATCCAAGCTTGATACAGCACTGAATTTGGATTGTGATTAAATAATTGACACAGCATAGGTTTCTGACACTGAATGAACGTGGTCTATGAACTTAAAAAAATTTAATTTACCTATTCAAACCATATCATTATTATTTGCTTTTATATATAAATCAGAAATAACCAATTTAAAATGGAAAATTTTAAAGAAAAAAAAGGAAACCCCCCAAATTTTTTGAACTCCCTTATGATTCATCACCCCCAAACTCAATCCCAGCCTTCCCTTTGTGGTATGGTACCTTGCAGTACAATTTCAGAGCGATCCATACACTTGAACACAAGTTATTGTCTGGAAACTAGAAAAATGCTTGTTTTTTGGCCCCAAATTCCTAAACATTTAGGGCAATTACCCCCAAACTCAAGCCCAGCTTTCCCTTTGTGATATGGAACCTTGTAGTACAATTTCATAAAGATCCATACACTTACACACAAGTTATTGTCCTGAAACTAGAAAAATGCTTGTTTTTTTGCCCCAAATTCCTTAACGTTTAGGGCAATTACCCCCAAACTCAAACCCAGCTTTCCCTTTGTGATATGGAACCTTGTAGTACAATTTCATAAAGATCCATACACTTACACACAAGTTATTGTCCTGAAACTAGAAAAATGCTTGTTTTTTGGCCCCAAATTCCTTAAAGTTTAGGGCAATTACCCCCAAACTCAAACCCAGCTTTCCCTTTGTGATATGGAACCTTGTAGTACAATTTCATAAAGATCCATACACTTACACACAAGTTATTGTCAAGAAACTAGAAAAATGCTTGTTTTTTGGCCCCAAATTCCTTAACGTTTAGGGCAATTACCCCCAAACTCAAACCCAGCTTTCCCTTTGTGATATGGAACCTTGTAGTACAATTTCATAAAGATCCATACACTTACACACAAGTTATTGTCAAGAAACTAGAAAAATGCTTGTTTTTTGGCCCCAAATTCCTTAACGTTTAGGGCAATTACCCCCAAACTCAAACCCAGCTTTCCCTTTGTGATATGGAACCTTGTAGTACAATTTCATAAAGATCCATACACTTACACACAAGTTATTGTCCTGAAACTAGAAAAATGCTTGTTTTTTTGCCCCAAATTCCTTAACGTTTAGGGCAATTACCCCCAAACTCAAACCCAGCTTTCCCTTTGTGATATGGAACCTTGTAGTACAATTTCATAAAGATCCATACACTTACACACAAGTTATTGTCAAGAAACTAGAAAAATGCTTGTTTTTTGGCCCCAAATTCCTTAACGTTTAGGGCAATTACCCCCAAACTCAAACCCAGCTTTCCCTTTGTGATATGGAACCTTGTAGTACAATTTCATAAAGATCCATACACTTACACACAAGTTATTGTCAAGAAACTAGAAAAATGCTTGTTTTTTTGCCCCAAATTCCTTAACGTTTAGGGCAATTACCCCCAAACTCAAACCCAGCTTTCCCTTTGTGATATGGAACCTTGTAGTACAATTTCATAAAGATCCATACACTTACACACAAGTTATTGTCAAGAAACTAGAAAAATGCTTGTTTTTTGGCCCCAAATTCCTTAACGTTTAGGGCAATTACCCCCAAACTCAAACCCAGCTTTCCCTTTGTGATATGGAACCTTGTAGTACAATTTCATAAAGATCCATACACTTACACACAAGTTATTGTCAAGAAACTAGAAAAATGCTTGTTTTTTACCCCTTTTTTGGCCCATAATTCCTAAAATTTGGAAGCAATTACCCCCAAAATCAATCCCAGCATTCCCTTTGTGATATGGAACCTTGTGGTACAATGTCAGAGAGATCCATACACTAACATACAAGTTATGTCTGGAAGTTACAAAAATGCTTATTTTTGGCCCCTTTTTGGCCCCTAATTCCTTAACTGTTGGTACCATAACCCCTAAAATCAGTTGTACTGAGAAGAAAAATTCAGCAATTTTTCCATTTTTAAAGGGCATAACTGTAGAACATTTAAAGTGATGCCACCAAAATTCAAACTTGATCTGTGTTTTGTGGTAAAGAGCATTGTGTATAAGTTTCATAACATTTGGTTGAGGCAAACTTAAGTTAGAGAACGGAAACTAAAATTTTTGCAATTTTTCCATTTATAAAGGGGCATAACTCTAGAACGGTTAAAGTGACGCCACCAAAATTCAAACTTGATCTGTGTTTTGTGGTAATAAGCATTGTGTATAAGTTTCATAACATTTGGTTGAGGCAAACTTAAGTTAGAGAACAGAAACCAATTTTGGGACGTACGAACGGACGTACGTACGTACAGACAGATAAGGGTAAAACTTAATGCCCCCACCGCTACGGCAGGAGCATAAAAAAGTGTGGGAATCAACTTTGATATATCAATACACATCTTGACCCAAATTTTATTCAATAACATTCACAAGCATAATATACTACTAAAATACTTCCAAAATTCTTATCAACTGATTAAATTGATGTATATTACATTTTCACATTAAATCATAAATAGTAAATTATTATAAATTTTGATTAACAAAGGAACTATATGCAAGTGTATATCTTAAATAAAGTAGCTGTTCGACCAATATTTTCTGAATTTAAGGGCAAATAACATGTCAAAAGTTTGCAGTAGATGATTTAAAAACGATGAATAAAGTTTCTGCAAGTCATAAAAACACATAATTAGTTTCATGATATGTCTTCAACTCAGAATTCTGCACCATCTCCAAATCCAGAGTGATCACATAGATCCAGCATGGCTGAATCAAAAAGCAAAATTGATCATTTATTGAAAGTTTCTTACTATCATATAAGACCATTACATAATAAGAGCATTCAGGAAATTTGATTAGATATCTCAAAAATCTTGTCTTCAATATGGCTTTTTATGAAGAACTCTGGATTACAACAAAAGAAGCTTGGTTTGTTACACTACTCTCAAATTACTGGATGTTAACGTAGGTCTAATATATTGTGATTACTGTGATTTCCTGTTTCATTACAGACAGCAGTCGATATGACAGGATGTCACGTATGTTATACACCCAGCTCTTCAATCCCATTATGTCTTCTAAGTATTCTGTAACAACTAATTATTAATGTTTGATGGTTATAAGAGGTGAAGGACATTAAGATGGTACTCTTTGTTTTCTGCAAGCCATCATTGGTTTCATTATCCTCCGGTCACTAGGACTACGTGTGCACAATCTGATTAAAATAAATTCTGTGTATTATGTTTCCCATACAAGGATCTGACAACACCCTGTTCTATTTTTAGTTCTGGATATTATCACATCCACCAATAAAACCTCTGCTTACAAATTTTTGAAGGTGTGTACCATTAGGACAAAACCAGAGGATCCCAAAAGGTTTATCAAAACAGAAAGTACAATGGAGCATTGCCAGATCCTTGTAAGCAAAACCTGGTCACAAGATATGTTTTGTAATCAGATTGATTCGTTTAAGAATGGATTTATTTTATAAATAAACATGGTACCAACGAATATTGCATTTGGCCAAAAAAAAATATATGTCTGTTTAAGGTTACATCATAAAAAAGAAAAAGAAAAAAGGTATGTCGGTATTTCCATTTTATTTTATTTTTGCGACATGATTTCGAGTCTTACAGTCCATATTGCCGTGGTCCAAATTGTCCATGGGCCGAATTTACCTGTATTTTTAATGATTGGATTATTTCCCTTGGTTATTGGTTGGAAAAAAAATGATGAAAAAGTTTATATTTCATCACACAAGTTGTGAGTTTCCTTAAAAAAGCTGTCATATTCATGATTGTAAACATTGGGACGTTTCAGGCAATTGATTGAGTTTTTTGGCAACTCTAACTTATGACACCAGTTCAGTTCATTTTTCTCTTTCTCTACGACAGAAGTAAAATGACTTAGGGTTAGCAGTAAAATTAGGGTCTGCAGGGAAAATAGGCAAGTACCTGTCAAAGAAATTATCTCTCTTGAGTAGCTTGGTCCCCATAAAACATGGTGCACCTCTACTATTATAGGCAAGGCATACAAATGTTTATCCTCTAAAGCAAGCTAATAATTTTTGGGGAAGATAATTGAAGAAATATCAGAACAGCTGGTTGTACTTCTGTTCAAGTATAATGCAAATGTCATAATTATTCAAAATCCATCAAGTGAATTTCTAATCAATGTCAAGCAATCGCTTGTTTTCCCATAAATGTATATACATACAAATCTCCTTGTCTACGAGTGCATTGTAATAAACCTTCATGCATCAAAACCAAAATAGTATCCTGACTCAATAAGATGGGCTATAAACATAACAGTTATCATCCCCACTCAATAATGACAATACGATGGGCTATAAACATTATAGATATGTTAATTGACAGCAGGTATTAACTAGTTGTGACATAATTAATGATATACTACAATCAGATCTTACTTCATTGGAATTCCAGCGGTGTCGGAACAATGGAAATTCATTTGCAGACTGGATTTCATCAAGCTGCTTCGGAAGTTTGGGGAAATCACAACCTGTAATAGAATGAATAGATCAATTAACTTGTTTCAGAAGTTTGGAGAAATAACAACCTGTAATGGAATGAATAGATCAATTAACTTGTTTCAGAAGTTTGGGGAAATCACAATCTGTAATGGAATGAATAGATCAATTAACTTGTTTCAGAAGTTTGGAGAGATCACAACCTGTTATAGAATGAATACTGTAAATTCAGAAATTATTGCGATGTTTTTATTATTGCGACAGGGTTATAATCGCAATAATTTAAACTCGCATTTTGAAATTTTTTATATGAATTAAACAGGATTTTTCTCAATATCGCAAAAATTAAAATCGCATTTTAGTCTTAAATGACAAAATCGCAATAATAAATGCACGCAATAATTTCTGAATTTACAGTAGATCAATTAACTTGTTTCAGAAGTTTGGGGAAATCACAACCTGTAATGGAATGAATAGATCAATTAACTTGTTTCAGAAGTTTGGAGAGATCACAACCTGTAATGGAATGAATAGATCAATTAACTTGTTTCAGAAGTTTGGAGAAATCACAACCTGTAATGGAATGAATTCATGAATTAACTTAGCAAGGAAAAATTCTTTACGAATAAAATCAGAATTTTTGAATAACCCGTAGAGGATGATTTTCTAACAGACTGTAACCAATAAAATATACAATGGTACAAAAGAGAAATAAACTGTTATCACAGAGATATGTCTCGCCTTTTTGTAATTTTGATAATGCAAATGTTGAAATCAAAATAGCAATACTTTAACATGTAAGTTATGCAAATATTCAAAGTCGATGAACCATGACTGAAGGTACATGGCTAAACAATCTCCATGGAATGAGATGTGCCAATGCTAATACAACTGCATACCAAATACCATTGACTTATTATAAGTCGTTCCCTTTAAACAAACCTAAACACAAACATTAACTTGTAAACTATGTAAAAGTTTCAAAGTCAATGAACCATGATCAGGGGTGGGGCTATATAATCTCCATGGAAACGATACTTGCAAATGCCAATAAATTTGCATACCAAATAACATTGACTTAACATTAGCAGTTCATCTTAAACTGATCTAATCACAAACTAATACATGTAAACTAAGCAAAAGTTTCAAAGTAAATAGACCATGACTGAGGGGGCGGGGCCAAATATTCTCCATGGAAATGAGATGTGCTAATGCTTATACAACTGAACACCAATTAACATTGGCCTACCCTTGAACTGACCTAATCACAAACTAATACATGTAAACTTAGCAAAATTTTCAAAGTCTATAGACCATGACTGAGGGGGCGGAGCCAAATATTCTCCATGGTAATGAGATGTGCCAATGCTAATACAACTGCATACCAAATATCATTGACCTCCCATTAGTGGTTCACCATGAACTAAACCTAATCACAAACTAATACATTGTTGACGCCCCCGTCGCTGCCAACGCAGGAAACAGCATACCTATGTCTCGCTTTTTGACTCCGTCAAGACGAGACCAAAAAAAATCATTTGGAAACTAAGAATAATCTCCCTCAAGCATAGTTTTGATTATTTTAATGTATTTGGCTTTATATACATATTGACAGACATGAACAAATACACCCCTCCTTTGGAGCAGGGGTATAGTAATTAGTATATCCTTTAACAATTCAAAAACCAAAATAGTAAATGTATTTTTTACAAGTATTGTTGATCATTTTTGCTGTTTCTAGTTTTTTTATCATATATCATCTAGTTTTTAATAGAAGAAAATGCTATAAATAAGTAAAAAATATTTGTTAAGGGCAGGTAATCCTATAAGAACTTGTCTTATAAATAATTTTGGTAGAATAGAAAATAGCTAGATCTTGATATACTGAAAATTTCTTCAAGTGAGAATTTCTGCATCTACTTAGTTACACAGATATAAGACAATTACTAGCATTTTAACTTTATGTTTTAGTTTTAGTTATGGCAGCCATATTGGTTGAAAAAAAAATGTGGAATGTGTCCATAGGACACAGATGATGCCCCCACTTGCATATCATATAAAGTTATAAAGGGACTAACTGAAGAACGGTAAAAGCAATTTTTATGTTTATATAAGGGCATAACTCAAAAAAGTGACACCAACCAATTTCAAACTTAATCTGTATTAAGTGGTAATAACCATTGTGTAAAAGTCTCATAACATTTGGTTGAGGTAAACTAAAGTTAGAGAAAGGAAAAGAAAAATTCAGCAATTTTTATGTTTATAAAGGGGCATAACTCAAGAACGGTAAAAGTGACGCAATCCAATTTTGAACTTGATCTGTATTATGTGGTAATAAGCATTGTGTATAAGTTTCATAACATTTGGTTGGAGCAAACTAAAGTTGGAGAATGGAAACCAAATATTCAGCGATTTTTATATTTATAAAGGGGCATAACTAAAGAACGGTAGAAGTGATGCCACCTTATTTCGAACCTGATCTGTACTATGTGGTAATAAGCATTGTGTATTAGTTTCATAACATTTGGTAGAGGCAAACTAAAGTTAGAGAACGGAAACGAAAAACTTGTGACGGCACCCAATTCAAACTTGATCTGTGTTTTGTGGTAATAAGCATTGTGTATAAGTTTCAAAAAATTTGGTTTAGGCAAACTAAAGGTAGAGAACGGAAACCAACTTTGGGACGTAGGGACATACGGACCGATGTACGTACAGATCGATGTACGTACGTACAGACGCACAAGGGTAAAACTTAATGCTCCCTCCGCTACGGCTGGGGCATAAAAACCAAATAAATTTTATAAACAATAGACGCGTGCAGACTAAGGATCATGTTTAGTTTTATTTGAATAGTTTCAACAATTTTTTTTTGTAAACAAAAGACCTGAAAATGGAGAAGGACTGAGGACATACAACAGGCATAAATGTGATAGCAAAAGTTGGACATACTGGCTCTTCCAGTCAGATGAGCTAGAAATGAAGCAATTCTAGTTTTCTTTCATACAATCTGTACTATATATACCATACATCAGTTTTCAAAAATCTGACGATAGATAAATTAGAAATTGATTCATTGATCTTTGGTGTTTAATGCCACTTTCAGCACTATTGGCTATTTACTTTTTTATTGGTGGAGGAAGCCTGAGTGCCTGGAGAGGTCCACCGTCCTTCAACAGGAAAACTGGCAATGCCAAGAATTGAGTTAAAAGCACCCGACTCAAAACCTCTGTGTTGACAGGCTAGTGATAAAGTAGATTAACTACTCTGACCACTCAGCCAGCTAGGCACCTTAACACAACCTCAGTGTTGACAGGCTAGTGATATAGTAGATTAACTACTTTGACCACTCGGATAGCTAGACTCCTTAACACAACCTCTGTGTTGACAGGCTAGTGATATAGTAGATTAGCTACTTTGACCACTCAGCCAGCTAGGCTCCTTAACACAACCTCTGTGGTGACAGGCTAGTGATATAGTAGATTAACATCGTTGACCACTCAGTCAGCTAGACTCCCTTCCCTAGATCTTTCATCAATTTCTTCATTTTCCATCAACACTTGATGGACAATTGATGGAAAGTTGATGGTACTTGATGGAATTCCATCCTAAACCAAAAAAATCCATCAAAGGATGATAGAAATTAGGAATTTTATTTCCATCCCCATTCTTTTGATGGAAAATTTGATGGCATCTTTAACCCCTGATGGAAAATTGGATGGCATTTTTACCCTCTGATGGAAAATATGATGGCATTTATTCCACCTGATGGAAAATAGGATGGAAATGAAGGAAGTTTGATGGAAATTGGACTTAAACATTTTCTTTGATGGAAAGTGAGATGGAATTTGGACTTAGAATATTTTGTTGATGGAAAGTGTGATGGTATTTAAACTCTGTCATTTTGCTTGATGGAAAAAAACTTAGAAAATTTCAGCATAATTGTGTCTGAAAATTTAACATCCCTTACTGAGGTAAAAAGTTTTCTATTATATTGGAGCAAACAAATTTCTTTACAAGAAGTACTAGCAAGAAAGTTACATGTTGTTGCAGCTGTAACTTGTAACATAATCTCTCAATGTTACTGAAATAATATTTGTTCATGAGAAAGTTGCAGTATTTTTCTGCAATGTTGCAAGAAAGAGTTTGTTTGCTAGAAAGTTGCAACAAACAATTTCCTAAACTGTGCAATACCTTGTATATATCTTGTAACAGGAAAGGATTTCAAGAATACTTTGGTTTTTATTTCAACCAGTGTAAACTTATTAAATGTGACATATTATTTTTTGTTAAAATTACTTTATGTCACATTTATATGACTGTTCTGTAACCAATACTTTTATTTTTACATTTTCCATCAAATGATGCATACACCCCTTGCAGAAATAAATCCTGACAACTTTTATAATAAGGATATCTCAAGATTATCCTGGGATATCCTGAAAATATCCTGTTAGGCTATAAGTCCTTTTTTTAGAAAAAAAACTTAATGGGAGAATTCCAGAAAATGTCAGGACTTTCAAATCAAGCAGCTTAAAACTGGGGGAATTCTCAGGATATCTCAAGACTTTCAAAAATCATATTATATAAACCAGAATATATCAGGACTTTTCGATCATCATTCATCCAACTTTCAGGACATTTACAAATTCTATCTGAATGGAAAAAAAAAAAAGGGCCTGGATGATTCCTGGTATTGGGACTTAAGAAAAAATATAATCTGTATTACAAATTCAACCAAATAAAAAAGAAAATCTTTGGGACTGAAATTAACTATTGTTTGTTAAATATATATATATTCACATTCACATGAAGATACAGTGTTCTAGCCAGGATTTAAAAATTGCAGGGTGCTCTAGTCAGAAAAATGACAATTTTATTCGTAAAATGTCATTGAAAAAAGGGCAATTAAACTAAAATAAAACTCAGGCACTAAGGTAAAATCAAGTTTCAGTTGAAGGGGAGTAATAAAATTCAATACTTTTGGCACAATTTTTTATGTTTAGCTTTAAAAATCTCGGGTCATTAATAGTGA